CCAGCCTCGGGTTAGGGCGGGACGTGGCGGCGGGCGGCGCCTGACTGGGGCCAGCGCGGAGGTGAGGCCCGTGCGAAGGTGGGCGGCCTGGACCTCGGCGCCGCTCCCCGCCTTCCCCGCGGGCGGAGCCTGGTGTGCGGCTGGGACGTGACCCCCGCCCTTGCCCTCAGATCCAGACCCGGATCGCCAACGAGAGGTACCTGAGGACACACAAGGAGGTGGAGTTGCTGCTCGGTGGCTTCTTCAGGTAGGCGCGTCTGCAGAGCCCAGCGGAGAGCCACGTCTGCGGGACCGAGGAGTGCCAAGGACCTCTTTAGTCATTCCCCCTCTTCTGACTTCTTAAAAGTCGGAAAATACCCCAAGATTTAATTTTTTTTCTAACTCTGGAGTTTGTCACACCAAGGGTTTTCTTCAGTTATTTCTTGGAGATTTCCTCCAGTTATCTCTGAATTCTTAAAAATATTAAGTTCCATTCAGCTGTAAAGGTAAACGTATGCCTTATGACACTAGAATCAAGAGGGAATCTGGCATTGAGAAATCCAGCAGGCATCCACTGGGTAAACACTATTCTTGATCAGAAGGACTGAACAAGATGAACAGTAGAACTCAAAAAGAAAAAAGTCAAATGTCTGCCCTTCTCTACCTGAGAACCTTGATGTAGAAAAACGGCAAGAGTCAGAAGCCACTAATTCCTTGGGCAAAAGAAGACCATTTTCCAGTGTATCCTTCCCCTTCTGCCTGGCATTGCTTGAATGGAAAGGCAAAAACTGAGGCAAGGAAAAAAAAATTTTTTACGGAGCAGCGATCAGGATGAAAACAACAGACCACAGAATCTCAGATACTGTTTGGCTACAGACTGAGCTGCAAGGTTTAAATAATAATGGCTTCCATTTCCAGGCACTGTGTTGTTTCACTATGTAGGCTGTCATCACACTCTATTGTAATTGCGTTGCCACTCTTCTGTTTCTGGTCCAGAGCTCCAAGCTGGAGGAGCCCTGTGTGTGTGTGTGTGTGTGTGTGTGTGTGTGTGTTTCCAGTGTTGACCCCTACACAGTGTTTGGCATTTTGGTTCCATTTTGCTGATCCCCCCAGCCACACTACAAAAAAATAGCTTATTATCATTTATGTTTTACAGGTGAGACAGTCAAGCTCAGAGAAGTAAAGTACCTTCCTCAAGTTGCTGACCTAGGATTCGAACCCTTGGTTCTTCCACTGTATTGTGCTGTAAACACAGGTCCACAGCCAAGGGGCAGCTCAGTGGCAGAGCACGGGCCCAGCATGTGTGAGGCTCTGAGTCTCTCTCTCTCTCTCTCTCTC